TAATATTGCTGAAATCCTCTCTTTCACCTGACACTTGAATAGCCAGGAACCCGCTACATTTGACGTTAATGGGTACAGTTTGATTGATTACTCGTATGGGATTTCATGATGAGAACAGAACTTTGGCCCACTGAGAACAACTGCTCTACACAAATAAACTGGTCATTTTTTATTTTTATGTTCTAACCTCTCATGAAAATGGAGAACCTACAGCTAAAAATACGAGTAACAGATACCCATAGCATAGGATTCACATATCCTAGTAAGTCAAGGCTAAAACATTTCTAAGGCTCTAGACAGAGTCAAAGGTAATGCGCTGGGCCTAATTCTCTGCTAATTACTGATTCATGACTTACTGGCCTGAGGTATATTTGTGCTGGTATAGACAGCTGATTCACAATCTGTTCCTCACTTATGTATTACTAAGCTCTATTTTGAGAAATCAAAAGGAACTTAACTGGTGCATAAGCCTTCGGGACTGAGCAGAACAGCAGCAGAGCCAGAGGAATCCCAAACTGCAGTATTCCTTCCTCTTCTCTGGGATTACCACAAAATACACCATTAGCTTTTTAAAATAGGCTTGATATATAAAACCAATTACATACCATGTCATGTGTGGGTGTTTAATATTTGTCTGGGATAGGTCATATAATGCTATTTCTAAAGAAAACTCTTCGCATTCCCTCCTACAAACACACCCAGAACTGGAAAAAAATACTTATAAAGTTAGGTACCATAACATCCCTGAAAGAGAAATCATCACACTGGGGCAATACTTCCTGGCCAGTTGCAATTTATATGCAGCAGTAAAACTGGTCACAGTAATGAAAGTTATTTAATTTTAAAGAACAAGAACTTGCTCAAAATTAAAACTTGTCACATTTAAAGAAAAAAAGGGATTTGAATCTTCCTAGATAGTATTTATATAGAAATAAAATATTTATTTTCTAAATAATTGATTGATACTTTTTTGTTTCAAATTAGTGTGACTCAGTATTTAATTTAAAGTTAATTTCAAATCTGCATTTCATGATTCTGCTTTGAAATTTTTTTTAAATAAAGCTTTTCAATGACCAATGTCAGAGCATTTATTTTCAGTATTTCTACATTTTATGAACAGTGTGTTTTTCTATATTTTTATTTTCTCATTTCAACTTGAATGAGAAATATCAGAAGAAAACATAAGAAGTTTCTAGAATACATCTATTTTGCAACCATGTTTACATCTACTTGCACCCTTACAGCTGTTTTGTTTTTAGACTAGACTAGAATATTTTCAGTTGGAAGGGACCAACAACAATCATCTAGTCCAGCTGTCTGACCACTTCAGGACTGAGCAAAAGTTGAAGCACATTGTTTAAGGGCATTGTCCAAATGCCTCTTAAACACTGACACGCCTGGGGCATCGACCACCTCTCTGGGAAGCCTGTTTGGCCTCCTAAGATGCTAAGAGAATACAAACTGCTATGAAGGATTAGACAACTTTCCTTTCCCAAAGTATAAATGAAACAAATTGGGAAAACAGTTGGAAAGAGAAAAATGGGAAGAAAATGCCACACTGTATCATAGATGGGAAGAAATACTCTATGCTCTTAAAATAGCAATGGTAGTACACACTTTCCACTGATACCATCAATCTTCCCATTAGTTCCACTATCATGAAAGACCAAATTCCACACATTAAATCTGCAAAGATACTCAAGGGATGGTCCAGAACACTTGAAAAGCAAATAAGGCCTAGAAGATGATTTTAATATATTGATTATAAACCTAGAGTATAAGATCTACACATAAATATTTTTAAATACTCAGTCCCTATTGACATTTCCTTAACATAAATACATAAGAAATTCCATTAAATTAATTGCATTTAGATTTTCATTGAGTGCAAAACACGTTTCCTCAAGATCTGGCTGCTGCTGGAGGCACAGAAAAAATTGTTTTCACAAAGCACAGAAAAATATTATGACTGATAATATTTGAAGTTACCAGGCTGAAATAAAAATCTTAGGCTATATTATCAACTTCAGTGGCAAAGCTTGACTGAAATGAAAGAAGAAACATCTGCTAAACAACTGCCCAGTGAAATGTTCTTGGCACTACCAGCCAGTATCAGCCAGACACATGCCCTCATTTATAGAGAGATGTACAATTAGTATGAATTCATTTCACCTATCTTTAAAACATCAGATGTTATATTTTGCTAAGAACATAATACTGGACTTAATGTCTTAATAGGCAAGTTATGATAGAGCCCATGTGCTTACACCTGTTGAAAACTACACAAATACCTGTTTCTATCTGGCACTCGGATAGCTCGGGTGATGAAGGCCATAAAATAGCGAAAAGTTTCATACAACGACAGAGTAACTCCCACTGGAAGGCCATTGTGTCCAACCCTCAACTCGCAGCAGATTCTTTATATATTGCAATGTCCCATATGCTATTAGAAGTAAAATATATTTATGTATCTTTATTTCTATGGAAATTTAAGAGAAGGATCATGTGGTACTGATGAGGCACTAAACTTCCACTCCCAAATCCTTGCTATTGCTCCTTGATACAGTTCTTGAGAGAAGCAGCAGCACTGGAACAGGCTGCCCAGGGAGGCTGTGGAGTCTCCTTCTCTGGAGATATTCAAGACCCACCTGGACAAGGTCCTCTACAGCCTACTGTAGGTAACCCTGCTTCGGCAGGAGGGTTGGACTAGATGACCCACAGAGGTCCCTTCCAACCCCTACCATTCTGTGATTCTGTGTGATTCTGTGAAATCAAAATGGTCTATATACAGAAAAGGGGAAAAAAAAAAACCTTGAAAATATTTCTAATTGTTATAAATGTACAGACTCTTAGAATTTATTATTCTTATCTGAGAGAAATGTGATATTTATGAAGAACCACGACTTTGAAGTACTACATTGGAGTTATTCCTATCAAAGCTCCAGGACACTTCCCTGCTTATGTCTGAATGATATAAGGAAACATAAGGATTCTGAAACACAGCAAAATACAGACTTCAATATTAAACATCCACTTTCTGGCTTTAATTCTTACATACAAAAAACACTGACAGATTATTTGAGTCAGCGCAAAACTAACACATATTTCAGTGGTATGCTACATTTTTAATAACTTCAGTATGCTAAATATACCTAGACTCAGATAAGAAAAACACCATTAAACAAATCTGCAAGAGAGGCTTCCGCTGTTCTTTCCCGCCTGTTAATGACTCTGATAGTTTTCAGACCTAACACATTTGAAATTTTTTTTGATTAAAGACAGAGCCACATGCCCTCCTGATTAACACCCTATATAAACTTGCTAAGGAAAGATCAGTTATAAGGCAGACATGACATTTCTGACCCACTGCTTTACTTCTAAATGATTATACATTTTCACATGGTAGTTAAGCAGTAAAGTGTATTGCCTACAAAACTTCAGCTGCTTTGGAGAAATAAGTTCTTCAATAAGGCTGTACTTTGCAGGAGCCAGTAAGTAGAAAGTCTCAGGCCGATTCAAGTATTTCAGCAGAAAAGGTTGAGACAAACTGGAGTAAATCAGAAGAGCGTTACTACAAACCAACCGCAGGCTGGTTTTCTAAAAGTATGGACAGTAAGTAGGTTGCAGAGTGACAGAGGCACTTGGAAGTGTGAAAAAGCTCTCTTGATATGCACAGGGATCATTACACCAACAGGGCAGCAGGGCAGGTTGGGTCTTGTGCTTTCAAACAGGGTTTAACTCTTCCATGTGTCCCTGCCCTGGGTCCCAGCCTCCCCCCATCCGGCTTCAGCAGCCGCACACATGCCAGCACACCTTCGGACTCGCCAGCTTCTTTTCGGGCCAATGTATCTGTAGGTACCAGCATGCTTTGTAACCTCTACACCAGCAGTTCAAGCAGGTTGGGGTTTCGTTTATTTCCCCCCCAGCCCCGAGTATGGCCAGGATTAGTATCTATTTCTACTCAAGAAAAAAGCAACTACCTGAAGAGCAAAGAGGATCACGGTATGAATGCCAAACGCATTGCAAATCTTGCAACCAAGATCAGGTAAACCCATTTCAATACTGGCAACAGCACTAGCAAAACACAGAATATTGCTGAAAACCAGAAATGGCTCCATAGACACATGGATAATTAGAGTCTATGTAAAAGACACAGATCAGAGTTCTAGAACTGAAATAAAAAGTCATTTAGGGAACAGAAGTGTCTAGCATGTTATGACTAATCCTGTAATAAAAAATACCTGTTGTTGGTAATGGTACAGCTATGCATAGTCCATACTTAGACACTTTAGTAACATGTGAAAGGGGGAGTTCTCTGGCTTTTTCAACAGAAATCAGATAAATGTTGGGAGTGTAAATTGACCTTTTTTAAACACAAAAATCAGTTGAAAAATACTAGCAACAGGTTAATTTTGGTGTAAAAAGTTATACACTTTTCAAATTAATTTCATTTGTATAAAAATCAGGCATTGACTTTTCCTCAAATATTTTGTGAACCTGTTTAAATCACTTCTTCAACATTTTGAGACATTGCAAAATATTTGACCTGAAAATGAAACCATTTGACATATGCATACCGAATAAAGTAATATTTTTCGCCAGTTTCCTCAACAGCCCAAGTTTATAGATGACTCCAGTTAATAGGTCTGATTCAACCTCTCTTAAAAAATGTTATAGATTTTTCTGTGGAAAGACTGCTTTCCTTTCTTAAGAACAATTTCACCAGTAAAACAAACAGCAATTTTATCAGACATTACAACTCTTTAAATTTTGGGCTCCATAGAACCAGACCTATAACCCTTCTATGTGCTGACACTCAGTATGATCACTGGCACGAGTATAAATTTGCAATAGTGGATGCAACAACGTCGACATATTCAAACTGCAAAAGATGCCAAGGCTTATACTGTCCCCATCAGTATTTCTGGAAACACCTTTCTTGGTTAGAATGAAGTACTTTTGCTGTTCATGTTTTATTTGGAAAATCACAGAATTCTCACCAAAAAATATGATCTTTTGAAACTCGTTCCTGCAGAAGGATCCATTTTTTCCCCAAGTCAATGGATACGTAAACCTACAAAAGAAAAAAAAAGAAAAATTAGATGATAAGAACCTGCTAATGATGTACATCTTCAAAGGCAGGTCCTATGTCACTATTAAAACAACAGAGTGCACACCATTTTTAAAAATAAAAAAAAAAATCATTTCCAGGAACTCTATACAATGATTTTTAGAGTAATAACCTTTTATAGAGAATATCTTTTAAATATAATCTATAAAGAACAAAACGCAGTGACAATTTTACCATGAAAACAATTCACAGTTTATTTTGGGTCAGATTCTTTGTTACCTCAGCATGGCTACACAAAAGGGATAGTAAAAAGACACTTTTCTTCTCCTTCTTCCCATTCATTGACCAGACAAGCACAAATATTTCCTTTATGCTTCAAGCCTTAATGCCACCAAAAACACTTAAGCCAAGAAGTCAATGGATTTAAAACTGTGATAAAATAGGACCAAAAGATATTAGAGAAATGCTTAAGAGATTTGATGAGGAGAGATGCACTTAAGGTCTTGCTTCATGGATACCAATTTGTGACCCATGAGAAATGGTTACTTGGCAGAGAGCCAGAAGATGGCCTGAAGGAGGAGGACTCCAGGTCCACCTTCCCTCTAAACAGTTCACTCCTGGTCAAAAAGCAAGCGCTAATGATACGGATGGATAGCAAGAGTGCAGATGAAAGGTGTTTTGCCCCAGAATAAAGTGGGATATAAAACAGCTATTGAAAAATCTCCCTCCTTTGGCATTTGTGTTCATAATGTGTTTCCACTAGTTAAAATAGGTAATATCTATCAGACTTCTAAAAAGACAGATTTAAAGCCCCCTGCTGTCTGCATGCATTTCTTATTTGATCTAATTTGCATATGATGGGTTTTCTTTTAATATCTCTAATAGGGAAAAAAAAAGGCAAGTAAAACTTTTCTTGTCTGATGTGGGAATAAGTCACCAGTTCAGTCACTGATTGTTCTGGGGCAAAGTGTCTTATGAGAACTAGTAAGAAATATTTTTGTTTTAAAATGACAGGTTGAAGGACAAATAAAATAAACCCACCACGACTATGCGTTATGTTTTACTACAGAAAACTGGCAATATTAATATGCAAAGATAAAGGCTGAGGTAACTTATCTCAGCATAAACTCTACGGTAAATTTACTAAAATTTGAATTAGAGATAAAACAGTATTTCCCAGTTACTCTGCACTTCACAATAACTGGGCTTTGTTCCACTACACGCTCAATTGAAGCGAGTAGACCACAGTTCAGGTAAGAAACTACAACCAGTACTCAGACTGCTTACTTTAGCATTCACCCAGTCAATGCATAGACAGCAAGGTTCAGGGATCAAGAAGTCTTCAATCTCCAAGCTAAATGTGTTAATGATGGAGCTGCAGAGCCAGGTTCTTGATTTGCCTGCTAACTTTCTGATCTTAGCTTTATTACGTGGGTTAGGGTTTGCTGCAACCAGTGTATTTTATAGCATACAGCTTGGAGCAACCTCCTGGGAGGGGAGGGATGTGACTTTGAATGGGCTAGACTGTGCAGGACGGAGAACCTAACCTCTTATTTCTTCAAACACTTCTCACCACAGGCATTACAGACAAGATAACCATCAGTTTGGTGATCTTTCTAAAAGGGTGGACCCTGCTCAGCTAGTTGCATGCCTCAGCAGAGTGCTATAAATCCAGAAGAGATGATCATTTAGTGCCTTGCCCTAACTCTGGTGTCCAAGCTGCAAAGAAAGCCATGAATTCAAGAGATTCCTGGCAAGAGGGAAAAGAGCCATTTAGCTTAACGGACAACACTGGCAAATGAATAAAGGGATATAAGTTTGTTATGAATGAATTTCAGAAGAAAATGAGAGAAGTTTCCTGCCATTACAACAGTGATGTCTGCGCAACAGGGGCCAAAAAGGAGCAAACCAATCCCGAACCCCCATGACCAAATCCAAACTACCTCCCCTCAGACACATTTAAGACTGAACTCTGGGAGCTTACGAACGGTTTGGTTTAGTGTAGGCAAGCCCTTGCAATCGTACTGTAAGAGAGAGCAAAGTAGGAATAATAAGGCATATTCGAATTGACAGGAATTTTTAACTGATGCACTATTTGAAATAAATAAATAATAACATGAACTTTACTTATGCACATATTCAACTTCCTTTCATTAAAAAAAAAAGTCCCACGTGTGTTTTGCTTTTTAACAGGTACATATGATAAAACTACTAAATAAGATTAGACATGAGGTAAAAACAGTTATATTAATGGACAGCTAAAGTCTCCGGCTCCAGCAAACACATCTAATAGTTCTTATCATTCTGTTTGTTACCACCCATGTAATAAATGTGTGGAATCAATTTTTCTAAAAAAATTAAAATGCTTTTATTAGTTTTGCCATTTTTTTCATCCTTTCAGCTTCCAAATGAACAATTAAAATCTACTGCATCCCTGTTGAGTTTTTAAAAAAATCTAGAAACATTTATATAGCCACAGTGAATAGCTGATTGTTCATTCTAACTGCAGTAGCCAGAAAAAGAGAGTATAGATTTGAAGGAGTAAATGGATTAACCCAACCACATTGACTGGTTTGCATTTATTTATAGTGTCAGCTAGAGACTAGAGCTTTATTTAAACAAAATCTAGGGCTGTGAATGAAAGAACAATGCATATTTTGCAATATAAAATATGTCCTAAATCAAATGAGAAGTTGTGAGCAAGGCCACAATGCTCCAGTAGGCACAGAAACCTTGCCAATTACCATTTAGGAAGGATGTGATCCTGAATTCTTTGTATTTTCAAAAGTGCCTTTGTAAGAAATCATTATAGTAACAGGAGGTAATGGCTTCTCTCAAGTTTTAGATTGTGTTACATCCCGACACTACTTTCTTTCAGTAAAGGTAAAGTTAGTCAACTCAAAAATCTAGAGTATAGCATCTCCCCAGGCCAAATTCAGATCATCACTCTCTCTCAAGGCCATTGATTTTAGTACAGTGACCTTTTTTTATGTCAAGCTGCAATTTTCATTTTCAGCTCCAACTTTGTCAACATCTTCCTCTCCCCACTAGGCCAAATACATCAGAATCTATAGAAAATTTAGGCAGGTTACTGACCCAGTTATAGCCAAAGGCATTCTTCATTCCTACACCTCTTAGATAAAGATGTAGGACTTGTCCAGCAAGTCTTTATGGTTGACTCCTTTTAGTGTCAAATTGAAAGCCTGAGAAAAGTCCTGTCAGAGTACATAACCCTTCCTGCTACCACTGCAGAGATATTCTTTACTGAGTATTTTGTAGATACTATTTACTGAATATTTTGTATTTATTTGTCCAGTTACATTTTAAATGTGGCAAAAAATGGTATCACACTGTAAGATTATCTAAGTAAATGCCTGAAAACCTCTCTATCATGCATAATTCATCAAAATCTGAAGGAAATGCTTAACTTGGTTCTCCTGTCCCCTTCTCTTCCCTGGCAAATATTTCTACCCACTTGTGGCCGGTCCCCTTCAACACACTTCTTTGGACTCTTACACTTAAAAGTTTCTGCCATTTAGTTCTTCAGGACTTTTGATCTTCTAACTATACAAAATTCAGGAACTATACTTATCATCAGAAACAAAAGTCAAAAGTGCTAAAAGTGCTTTTCAACACAGGCTTTTCAGAACTTCAGCCTTCCCTGAAGTACTTTGTTTACATAACATGCATTCAACACATTTGTAATTGTGTCAGAATTTCAAATAGAAGCTGCAAAGTAAAATATTTTCTGCAATTTGTAACCGAGTTTGGTTTGCTATTATTTTTATTCTAATTCTATCCTTATTTGCATATGCCTGTGTACATGAATTGTTTTGGGATCAGTTATTATCTTCTATATCCCAGAAAATATCCCAATGGAGGACTTGATACACACCACCGAATTCAGTGCAGTATTTGGCTGCAGCATGAGCAACATTCTCTGACTAATTTCACCACCTAAATATAAACCTTCTGTGAAGTCTGACAAGGATTAAAATGGACTTGAATTTGCTAATTTCAGTTTAAAGCAGGAGTAACAATGGAGGTGATTCAAGACTACTACCAGGACCAGAATCACAGTTACTTTACAGTGGCAGTTTTGACACCATGAAAAAGAGATGACTACGCACTCACAGACTGTGTGCACACTCATCATTGCTCAGCCTAACCCATCCACAAAAATGACTTTGTAATTTAACAAGAAGAAATCTGAAAGATGGTCAAAATTTACAAACCACATGGTATAACTCCTGAATCTGAATGTGGTATCAATACATCCTGAGAGAGAGAATTATTCTGCATTGCTACAGAATCAGTGATTCCTCATATCCTATTCTGCTGAATGACTGTGCTGTTTATTTTGTATTACTTGATTTTACTTCCCATGAACGGCCTTTGGAGGCACTGTTTCAGCTTCATTGACTTTCTACTACACCATAAATTACAAAGCAATTGCTATGGGCACTTTCTAGGGAGGAGAACATTTCAGAGGTACTACTTAACTACATTATGCAGGAAGATAAAGATTACCAATATCCATATCAACTGAAAATTCCGGGATTGAAATTACCATAAAAACAAAGATTTGAACACAAAGACAATAAATATTTAAATAAGCCTCAAAATCAGAATATGACTCCCTTCTGGGAAACTGATATTTCATGAAAACAAACACTAATCCATATCAGAACTGTTTTATGTATGTCCTTACAAAGCAATTCCTAAATTTCAAACACATGCAGTATCCTCATCGTCAAGCTTTACCTTGCCTTCCTTGGTGTAAGCAAGTACTTTATCTTCTTCTTTTGGGTGAAAAACAAGAGTCTCCACAAAGAAAGTAATGGGTTGTTTCTGGAAAGTGGCTCCTTCATCCGTGCTTATGAAAAGGCTTTGGTCACGGTCATTGTGGGAAGAACTTACAAGAATTATCTGAAAGACAAAAATGACAGCATGTATTCAGGAGACTGTTTTCTCTAGAACAGACAACACAGCCTTATTTTTCTTGTGTAAATTCAGATTTTGTACACACCTTACCTATCAGAATTTTGTGGACAGCAAACTCAAAAGCATCTAAGAGATAAGGACTGCAAGATCCTATTAATCTTCCCTGACTAAACCTGTGAATGTTAAATTCTATAACTTCTCTTGCAATCACACCAAATTGATCATGCTCCTCATCTCTACTCAAAATGATTGCCTTAGATTTTCATCCTTGCGCAAGGTTCATGAGGCCACATGAGAAAACCTCCAGACTAAACAAAGAAGAATTAATACTAGCAATGACTCATTTTAACGTGTTCATATAAATACATCACTTGACCTAGTGAGACTGCCTTCATAAATACTAAATGTAAAAATAATCACTGCTATAGTTATACCAGAAGAATGACTCCAGAGAAAGAACTAGTTTATAACATCTCCTCATTGCTTCACCATTCTCCTCCTGATGACACATTTTGGATAAAATGGCAGTTCACTCTGATGCAGAAAAATATGCCAATCAACTATTTGAATTTCCTTCTCTGGTCCAGATAACATCTTGACTCAAACATAGCAATATCTTGAGTAGTCTCCTTGTGTGAAGTTCTTGTCAGGCTTTCGATAACAAAGAAATTCTCCTCATAATTTAATCAGAATTTCACTCTTTTCAACTTCTTCACCTTTTGCAGTTGGCCAACATGTTATAACATTTTTCTAAAACTGCCAACGTAAGGATCCATGTTTATTGTGTTTCCAGATCAAACAGGCCCAGTTTGCAGTCAAAAAGGTGCCTTTATCAACTGATAGCCTACAAACAAAACATGGATTTTCAAAGCCCAGCTGGGCTCTATTTGCCTTATACTTCAAAAACAACTGAAAAAATTAAATAAATCCCGAATGCAAAACACATTTAGAATATTCAGCAAATGATGCAAAAGACACTGCAGAATCCTGATCGTAGTGATACTGTGACTGTAAATTGCTTACAGAGATAAATGGCAATGAGTTCTGCAAACAGAATTACAATAACGTGAATACAGAGGAGGAAACAGACAAAACAGTAGAATTTTTATGTAGTGACTTTTTTAGAATAAAGATGAAGTTAAAAATTCGAAATTTCTGATGAATTACACAGATATCACGAATGGACTGAGCTTTTACAGCATTTGGTCTTGGGGGAAAAGCTGTAAATACAACATTTGTAGGTACTCTAATTTGACAGGTTACTTAAGCATGTGCACTTGTACTGGAAGGACACACACAGTTGCACTAATTTCTGCATAGCTTTCACGTACCTAAAATGGGGCACACATTGAAGAACATTGTTGAACAAGAGAGAGAACTGCACGTACTTCAGGGTGCACAGTCCACTGCTGAAACCCCACACTAGAGCACACATTAAGCCAAACTTAATTCTATTAGCTGTGTGACTAGGTCAGTAAGAAAAGCAAGACAATAGCCCATAACTTTGCTATGATCTTGTATTTTTTTAATGATATACTTTACCCAAGCGTAGGAAACTGTGTTATTTTTGCTGGAAAGCCTCTATAAATGACATCTTCACAAATGCCATCTCTTTTTCCTACTGTATCCAATGGCTTCCTGCCTCTTGGTAAACTCTTCAAGCAGTATCTGTTTAATTTATTATTGTATACACTTCAAGTATGCTGCTGGTGGCCTGGAGAGAGCATCCAAAGATTCTTGTAACTCATCATTTGGCAGGTTTTCTGCAGAGGGCAAAACACCAACCTAAAATTGAGCATGCTGTCATGCGCTGCCCTGTCCCTTTGCGTGCATTGCAAGGTGGAGTGAAGAAGCATTTATGCCCAGCACAGAGATTTGTACTTTCTTTGCCATGCTACAATCTGCTGTTCAGGCCCAAAACATCTAGTTTTTCTTGGAAGTAAATGAATACAAACTATCTGCATGTCGAGCAAGCTACATAGCACTCCATCCTGTTGGTTCCTGAACAGATGACGGGCAGAAGGACCTGGTCCTGTGCAAAAGGGAACTCCACAAGCAAGGCTGCAACATGAGCTCCACGATTCCTGTTGAAGCTCATGTCCAGGTATGTCCTCGCATTTGAATGCATGCACAAGGCTGGTTCAGAGACCCACGCTTATCTCATGGTGTGTACGAGTCCTTCCATGCTGTATCACTAGAAGCGGCATTGTAGTAATTCCCTATAGAAAGTTAATATCTTTGGATACAATCTTCTAGCCTAAATAACACTTTCTGTGAATATTATTATCTTCATTCTCTCCTGTTAATGTTTTTAAAATGTATGCAATCAAGACAACAAATCAGTATGGCATATACTCCAGAAAAAGGCATGAACTTCACTTGTACAGAACGGTAATCTCTGGACTACCAAGCTATTGTTCTGCTTTCTTTTTCTGGCCCAATAAATCTTACACTTCCAGAAATACCAAAATATTGGCTTCAGAATAATACAGGAATGAGGTTTATAAATTTGGGAGTGGTTTTCACTGTTAATGAGCCTTAAGTAGAGGCACGTCTAAGTTTCATAATGAGGACCCAAGAGCAAACTGCAGAGAACATCATACTAGAAACTGAAATCACAAGAAAACTGCTAGCTATAATGAAATGCAAACACACTGTGATATTTGCTAATGCTATCCTTCAAAAATATGATGTATCTTTCAGAGTTAAATCTATCAGAAAAAAACTTGCCTAAAGATTGTAGACATCCAAGCATATATGGCAGAGTCCCTAACTATGCTTCTAGTCGCACATATTATAATTCATGTAATGAAATGTTTTTGAATTTCACTCAGTGTTCTGATTTATATTTCAATAGTTTAAACTGATCATTATGTGCCAGACATACAGATTCGCTTCCCACAGCAAACACACTGGGTGCTCAGACTTGCCTGCTGGCTAACACTACTTACCAAAGAAAATATTCCAGAGTAAATATTGTACCACATTAAACGCTTTCCATAACAAGTTCTATTTACTTTGTAAGTGGAATAGCAAAACCTTCCTGCTAGCAACTGATGAAGGGATGCAACTGGGACATACTATCTGGAGAGCTGACTAACAGCAATTGCTGAGGGTTTAAACTCAAAATAAACAACTACTTGATTGAATAATCGTGTATCCAAAAACCAGAACAGATTTTAATCACATCTAAATTTCACTTAAGCTTCTTTTAAACAACTTTTTACAGAGCTTTTCTCCCCACCTCCCGTGACAGTCTTCTAATATTTTTTAGTAAATTGTAACTTTATATTATGTTGTTTATCCCTGACCTCACTTCTTAATCTCCCATAAGCTAAATAAACCACAACAATGCATGTGTATACACTCAGATCAGGTGTAAATCTATAACTTCCAGTAGTTAGTTAATATTTCAAGGAGATAAACTATCGCATGTATTATAAAGAAAATGAGTAAAAATAGCATATGTTATAGATCAACAGGGAGGAAAGCAAAACAGATTTCTAATAAAAATGAAAAATACTACACCATGCCAACATATGAATTAAAGCATTCGAAAAATAAAGAAACGCTATGCTTTTTCCTCATTTCATGAAAAGTTAGTGAGGCAGGAGGTAATATAAAAGACAAATAAATCTAAAAATAACACATTTAAATCCATTTATTTAATCTCTCTTTCAGGACTGATTGACAAATGTGCATGTCTAACCATTCTGTCTACTTGGTGGAATCACAATCGGAGCCCCAAAAGATAAAAAGACTCTGACAGCTTAGGCCACAGTAGCTTCCATATCATACTACTTCTGCCACTATGACCATGAAGGCTTGGAATAATCATAGTGATTACTGGGGAGCCTTAACTGTAGATCTGGCAGTAATTCAAAGCTACACTGTAATTTCAAGTGGCAATAAACACAGGATATTAGCATGCATCATTTGCACTGTGTCTGAAATATAAACCCTCTCCCCTCAGTTTAGGTCTAATCAAAATGTAAACTCAAGATAAATTTGATCTTAATCAGCACTTTCTCTAAAACTATGCAGTCTTCTAACATATTACAATTGTGCTGTCTCTTTCATCTTCAGCAATTGGTCTTAATTTTAATCCTAGCTTTTATTAGCCTTTCTGTTTCTCTAGCATTAAAAAAGAAAAAAATAAAAAGTCAAAACGTCCATCATGAATTTCTAGACTCATAGCATCTGACTTGCTACAGATTTCTGCAGTAAGTGGTGAGATGAAGAGACATACCATTTTTAAATTCTGTAATCCTGCATATAGTCACAAATCAAGACATTTCATATTCTTCAACACCCTAAACTGCCCTTGAAGGAAGAAACCTCCTCTGGGCCGCGTAAGAAATCAAAATAGAGAAACTCTTAATGAAGCACAGAGAAGCCATGCACTGAGAGGCCAAGTGTGCCCAGGACTCACCTACACCTCTTCAGTTATGTCCAGTAGACTGAACTCCCACTGGATGTAGATGACTCGGCTGTGGCGATTCAATCCTAATGAGTACTGGACTCATTCCAGCAAAAACCTTAACGATGCAAACTTATGAGCCATCCCCACTAAGGTCAATTAATTTCCATTAAGAACACGTAATTTTAATACCCAAAGGCAGGTTCTTAGTTAAACTGGAGACAAGGCTGCTGGACACAGAGCAGCACCAAACTCCTAGTGATACATAAATCTACCATCACATAAACCTACATGCCTACATGAGTTTTGAAGATAAATACTCTTTGTGGCCATATTGCCAGTCTTGGGGCAGTATCCGTAGAGCTTCACAGGACTGCAGTCACACCCTCAACATTTTTCAGATCAAGTAACTAACTCATCTATTTTTCTTGTTTTTAAAATTTACAGTATTTATGTGTTATTGGATAAGCTTGGCTGATACAGAAATTACTCTAGCTCCTTGTCCCAATGGTAAATGAGATGTTTGAGATGTTGCTTCTCAGGTGACATTCATAAAACACACAAA